CTTGCCTTGTAAGCACGAGGACTGGTGTTTAACTACCAGCAGCTAAATAAAAACCTGGGTGTGGTGGTTGTGTGGTTACAATCCCAGTGTTGGGGAGACCAGGGCAGGCAAAACTCTGGGGCTTGCTGGTCAGTCAACCTGCCATGTGGAGTGAGCAACTGTCTCAAAAACAACACAGTGAGTGATGGAGGACCAGCAAGTAAGGTTGACCTCTGACCTCTACATGCATCTTCACACACACTTACCCGCCACAACCCCCACACACGCACATGCACACATCCACAGAAATAAAAAGAGTCATGAGCAAAGGTATGAAACAAAATTAATGGCACAGACCTCACTGTGTTGCTACCTTCTTGGGGGACAGCCCACTCCAGTCTCTCCCTAGACCAGTAGTTCTCAACCTTCCTGACACAATTTGATACACCTCATGACCCTCAACCATACAATTATTTCATTGCTATGTCATCACTGTAATTGTGCTACTGTTCTGAATCGCAATGTAAATATCTGATAAGCAGGGTATTTGATACGTGACCCAAAGGGGTCATGACCCACAGGTTGAGAACTGCTGCCCTAGGGTGTTTTGCTTTGACAGGCCTTGCTTAAATTGTGTCTGTTGATAGAATTCTTTTCTTCAAGAAGATATGAACAGAAAGACCCCAGAAACGCACAGCCGCAGGTCTGCACAACCCGGTGGTGTCAGCACTTGTAATCTGGTCCCTCGACTAATAAGGCTGATGAGGTGAATTGAAGGCTTCAGGGACGTGTTGGCTCCAGCCTCTTACCATAGCATCCTTCACGACACTTTGACCCTGAGGAAAAGTCTGACTTCTTCCCTGATTATGACTTCTTTGCAGGTGTGAAACTTGTCATTTTTCTCTCCTTGGGTTCCTCAGCTCTGGCAGGAGTATGCTTAGTGCCGGGTGACAAAAGATTTAAGCTGGAGATTTGATAGGTCTCAGCTCCCCAACCCAGGAGACGTACTTGCTACCCTCAGAGCCATGCTTCTTTCTGCTGCACGTTAATAAGCCCTTTGGTGCGGCCTCCCCCACCCCGGCAGCTCCTCTGCAATCCTGTGCCTTCTCTCAGGTACTGCTCACAGCCTACTGCTTCTGAGCAGGCTCCTCTGACAGGCACCACACCCCCTTGTCAGCAATCTTTGCTTCTTCTGAACTTACAGAGCTGCCTCTCCTCCACTTGAATGGCTCGATTTTCCAGATGAGAAAATAGAAACTGGTAGGTATGGGATTGGCAGGACCGGGAAGCGAGGCACCATGTGTTCTACCAGATAATGACATCTCTCAGGCAGCTGCCTCTCTAGTCTCTGGACAAAGATGGGCACAGCTGAGCAATCCAAGCGAACCTCAGCTCCTCCTGTGGGCTTCACTTGCAGTGGGGTTATGCACCAAATCCTCACAGCTAACTTTGGTTCCTGTGCTGCTTTTTCGAGGGTGGTGGCCAAGTCTCTGTCTAAGCGGCTAGGTCAGTGTCTTCCTCCCCTATGTCACTGACGCTGCCTGCGTTTCCAAGCACAGACACACACTAAGAAAAACATTTTCTTGTTAGAAAGTTCTCAGTGGCATACCATAGTAGGTAAAGCCAAAGGGTTCAAACCCTCCAGCGCCTCTTCATGGTGTGGCTATTCTGTCTGATTCTAAGCTAAGAGAAATGATCGCTGACTCAATTTATAGGGGATCAGCACTCCCTGAACAAAGAGGAAGCAGTCTGTAACTGGAAGCAAGGTGTACGTGTTTCTGTTTTTTTAGCCATTGGCAAGTGATTTGAAAAACAAAAACAAAAACAAAAACCTTTTAGCCTAAACTCAGTGTAGAGCTCAGACATAGCTGTTCTGCTAAGAGAGCTCTGCGTGAGCAACACCTCTCTGCATTCGAAGCTGTGAAGGAGGAAGAACTCACTAGTGGGGCCGTGGAGCGGCATGGGCTTGCCACTTCGCACCGTGCTACTTATCGTTTCATTGTATGCTTGCAAAATGAAGTCAGCTATCAAAATAAACGGAAAATGGAGGGAGGGAAGGCCAAGATAGCCTGTGTTTGGTCTATTTCATGAATACCTTTTGTGTACTCTGGGCCAGATACTGTATCAGGCATTGGAAATGAAGAGTTAATCTCCACCCTTGAAAGACTCATGGGAACACAAATGTTCATAACCCAAACAAGGAGTACCGATGCTATAAAATTCTAGGTCCCGGGCACACACATGCTGATAATGGGCTACCTAGGTATCCAGAAGTGGACCCCTTTGAGCTGGAGTTTAAAAGCAAGAGGATTTCGCTCAGAGAATGGAGAACTGTAAACAAACAAACAACATGAAAGACAGAGAGATGAGAAAGGTAGGGAATACCCTAGAACCAGATAGAACCAGGAAGTGATTGCAGAAAAAGGACAATACTGCGGCGTTAGGAACGTGAGAGGACTTATACATAGAGAGATGATAACTGCAACAACGTGAGGTTTATTCTCTGATCACATAGAGTGATTGGCAATACTTACTAATTAAGAAGGTTATGGGTACTTAAAAAGGACATGTGAGTATCTGCCCCAGAGAGAGACTCATTGTGATCAGAGTCAGTGTTTTTGAAAGAGAACACTTGAGTGGCTAACAGAGACCACGGCTAAGTTTAGAAGATTATTAAGAGTCAGCCATTTCTATTCATGGGCTGCACAAACTTAGATTTAATTGACTCCACTTCGAGAATATACCAGAATAAGAAAGCACTGAAGACGCACACTTTATGGCCTTGTCATTCCCTAAGCCATACGGCATAACTGTTTATACAGAACTGCAAAGTATTGGGCATACCTGGAATGTGGAGCTGTGTTAATACACGTGGAAGGAGTGTGCAGCTGATAGGTAAATATTATGTAATTTTAGGAAAGGGACTTGAGCATACTTGGATTTTGGTATCTTCAGGGATTCTGGAAGGAATCCTTCACAGACACCAAGGGGTGACTATTAATATCAGTTGAAGGCAGTGGAAAGCAGAACAAATTCAGCTGGCCTGGGGAAGGAGGGGAAAACTCAGGAAGTATTTTGACAATAAAATTAACAAGGTAGTCTGACTGAATCCAGTTGGGAAGCTGATACAGGAATCACAGGTGACTATTGTTTCTAGTCTGATGACTGTGAACTATTAGTGGCAGCAAAATGTCACTAATGGATAAAGAGCTTGCTGTCCAGGCAGGAGAATCTAAGTTCAGATTCCCAGTATACCCAAAGAAGCAATTGTGGACCCTCATGCCCATAACCCCAGTGCTTGGGACCAGACGTCCGCTTGCACCTGTTACTTTATCTTGAGTTTACTGTTATCATCCCCACTGAGCACCGTGACCTTGGTTCTGCTCATGAAATGTCTAAGAGCCCCTCTTACGAGCCTTTGCTTATGCTGCTGTTTCTCATTACTAGATTTTCCATTTGCTGTTCAGCTTAACACCATCACCTCAGAGAGTTTCCTTTTGTGTACCAAGTGCAAAAGAAACTGTTTTCCTTTACTGTGACCCACAAAGCAATTTTTTTATTATCACAGATATTTTATCATCAGAATTGTGTTGTCTGTGATTTGCGGTGCCCTTAGAGTTCTGCCCATCTTCCCATGGATTCTCCACGAAACCTGGGTTCCCTAAGACAATGAATGGAACAAAGTTTCTTTTTGAGTCACTGGTTGCTAAATGATCTAGTACATGAGTTAGGGAGACGGGCAAGGATGAAATGACGGAGGAAGGGAGGATGGGAGGCAGAAAGGGACATGGAAGGAGGAAGAGATCTAGGTGGAAGGAGGAAGTACTATAGAAACCAGGGCCTGGCCTCACTCAGACCACAGGAACTAGAGATGTCTTCCAAAGAAACTGAGAACTAGCTGCGTCATGCAAACCAGCAAGGCCCAAGTTCTTCCAAAAGCATTGACAATCTGAGCTTGGGTGATCAGACATGTTTAATATCCAAGGAACCCCAATGTGTGGACCCACCTATGGGAGATAACAGAGCAGTGAAACACGCAGTCTTGGGTCTTTGCTCTGCCATGAGGAGTCCCTGGCTCCTGCTTCAGGAATTTCTTTTAAAATTAAATTAAATTAAATAATTATCATCATTATTATTGCACCGTATGAGGGCAGGTACATGAGTGCCATGGTGTGTGTGTGTGTGTGTGTGTGTGTGTGTGTGTGTGTGTGAATATGAAGGAAATGTTTCGGGAGTTTGTAATGTGTACTCTTTCCCTCCAGCTGTCTAAGTTCCACCTCTGTCTCAGCCCCCAAATAACACAGGAGACATTATATTAATTATGAAGCTGTTGGCCATTTTCTATGGCTTCTTGTTGGCTAGCTCTGACTTGATTATTAACACATAACTGCTTATCTGAGTATTTCCATGGGGTCTTCTCTTACCGGAGAAAGAGTCCGGACCTCTTATTCCTCTCATGGTGATTGACTATGCCTCCGTTTTCCAGAATCTTCCACCTCTCCTAGTCCCACCTATCTTGCTTCCCTATTGGCCAACAGTGCTTTATTCATCAACCAATAAGACAAACATATGCACACAAGGACATTCCCCCATCAGGAGTCAGTCCTCCCCCCCCCTTCCCCGTTTTGAGGTAGGGTCTCTCCTGTTTCTACCTCACTGCATTCTTCAGGTTAGTTGGTCGGGGGGTTCCCAGGAAATTTTGTTGTCTCCATCTCACTGTAGGGGTGCTGGGATCACACATATGTGCACCACATGCTACTTTTCATGTAGATTTTAGGGACTGAAAGATTGTCGGGCTTGCATGGTAAAGCACTTGGCCGGCCGAGCCATCTCTCTGACCCTTCAGCAATTTTTTAGAAGAACTGACAAGATATACATCAGCAACACCTTTTTTCTCCTCTTTCTCATTCTCATTCTGGATTCTTCTGCTAAATCCCCATCAACTACAAGCATGCAATTAGAAGGGGTAATTTCAATCAAGAGGAAAAAACAAGAAGTTAAAACAAAAAATCTGCCATTACCTTTTGTCAGTGCCTCTGGGGTTCTTTTCTCCACTGACAGAGCTGAGCTCTGAGTGCTTCGCGGTGTCATCTGTTAGTTCAGCTGAGCCACTGCTGTGTGCTGTTCATGAGAGACGCTGACACGAAGAATGCCAAGTGGCTGCTGTTTCTCTGCACGCCTCCGGAAAATGCAACGCCTGTCTCCCCAGGCCACTCAAGAGAGCCAAGTTCTAAATAAAGGAGAGCTGCGTCTTCCTGCTCACTGCCTGGTCCCCTGCGTTCAAAACGCTTCTTCAAGCCTCTGTAATTGGCTTTTAGAACTTGTGTGCAAAGCATTCCCTGCTTGCTTCCTTTATTCTCATATCATCCTCCCTTTCTTTTATTCTTCAACACTGGATGGCAAACTTATAGTCTTTGGCTGTGCACTGAGACAGTGGGCAGATTGAAAAACTGTGATGGAACATTGCACTCATTATGTTCTCCACAAATATCAGTTACTCGTCTCGTCAATCAGCACCGTGGCCTCTACACAGACAAGTGACACTAATACCTCCATTTTTCTCTCTCAAGAGATTAATTTTCTAGTTGCATGTGCATTCAAAAGTGGGGGAGATATTGTTCCCTGGGAGTCATCCACATTGTCTGTCTGTCTGTCTGCCCGTCCATCTGTCCGTCCGTCCATCCATCCATTCATCCATCCGTTTATTTGGAGGCACTATCTCTCACTGAATCCGAAGCTCACCATGTAGGTTAGGTTGGCTGGCCAGCAAGCCCCAGGGATCCACCTCCCCAGTTCTGGTATCACAGGTGTGTGCCACCACACCCAGCATTTTTACATGGATTCTGGAGGTCAAACTCATGTCCTCATACTTGCTGGGTCAGGACTTTACTAACTGAGCCAGGTTTCAGCCCCATTTTTAAATTCTCTGAACTGATTTCAAGCATCTGAAATTATGACAAAGATGCTTTACTTTGCAACTGAGTAAAAGTCAGTTAAAATAACCAATTATTAAAATTAAAATTACTTATACTGTATTTATTTTTCCTTTTGAGACACGCTCTTGAGACGTAGCCCTGGCTGGTCTCAAACCTGTTATGTAGATGATTTCAAACTTCTGACCCTCCCACCTCACCTCCTCCTGAGTGCCCCCTGGGTTGCAAGTGTGTGCCAGCATGCCATGTTCTCTAACATCTGTCCTTTAAGAACATTTATCTCATGAAGTTTCTAGAATTCAAGAGGCACTAGCCTAAGCATAAAAACCCAACCAAATACTATCTACAAAGGTAACTTCTTCACTTCTAAGGACATGAACTGAGCCACCAGGGTTTATGTGGTAAATACAGGTATGTTTGGCCCTTTTCAATTGGCAATCATTGCTGAAATTTACAGTTTTTCAGGTTGATTGAGTGATAACTAAGGTTATTAATATTCCTAATCATGCCTTTTGAATCAGAAGAGTGAAGGGCATGGGAGGAATGATGAGTGTGAAAACTTGTCATCAGCAACGAGTGTCCTTATGTCTGAAGGAAGAAAGTTCTCTTTCAGGTCTCCAACAGCATCACCACCGCTCCTCCCCTGCCCTTCTGAATATTTTCTAGTCTCCTCCATGTCCTAGCTTTTATTGGTCACCTTTCTAGTTTTTCCATGGGACATTAGCAGGGCTTGTTCCAGGCAGAGTGTGCCACCTTGCGTGGGTTCAGAGTGCCTTCACGTGTTTTATCCCTTTGCCTGCATCCTTTGATCTTGCACTAGAAGGCAGTGAAATGTTCTGCATCGATGATGAGTCTTCGGATAATTGAAGCTTACCCTCTGAACGTTCACAAATATGTTTTTCATATTTATTTTAATAGAGATCTTTCTAAATATATCACACACCTGACTGCCTCCTTCTGAAAACAAAATATAATTTCTCTCAAAGAGACGGCAATGTGTGTAAGGAGAAAGGTGCTTCCTGCCTTTGTTTACACTTCCGGTATTCTCTGTGACCCCAAAGTGACACCCCACGTTAATTAGGCTGTTACACTCTGATTCCTGGGCTCTGTCTTCAAGACACAATTTTATGGAAGAAGAGGATATGTCAATATGTCAGGGAGATAATTAGAAATTAACAGCAAGGGAGTCAGAGAACTGTGCGGGTCAAGTATAAGTCAGAACCTGATTTGATCAGATGGGATACATGTGAGACAGATGAAGAGTCTAAAACGGAGTCTCAGAGAAGAACACAGTTTGCCTTAAGGATCAGAAGGTGCACAGAGTTCTGGGGAAGGCACGGGACGATCAAAGGCCCACAGACATGAAAGAATTTGCTGTGTCTGCTTGACAGACCGGCAACTAATGTCACAGTGGGTGGAGAAGCTGATGTGGACGAGGCTGGTGAAAGTTCCAGAAGATTGTCAGTCATTTGCAAAATCACTTGGCTCTGTGTGCGTGTTTGTGTATGTGCTTGTACACACATGCATGTATGTGTGAATGTGTGTGGAGGCTAGAGGACAGCCAGCTGTTCTTCAAGCATCATCTCCCGTTATTTGTATTTTTTACACGTATTTGCGGGGTGGGGGATACATGTATACTTCAGCACATGTGTGGGGATCAGAGAACTACTTGTGAGAGTTAGTTCTCTCCTTTCATTGTCTGAAATCAAGAGACCAAACTCAGGTTGACAGGTTTAGCAGCAAGTGCCTCTACCTTTTGAGTCATCCTGGCAGCCCATCATGTTTTTGACCTAGAACTCATCAAGTAGACTAGACCATTTTCTCAGCAAGCTCTAGAGACCCTCATGTCTCTGCCTCCATGATTACAAGTGCACGCCACTATGCGTTTTAAAAACATGAGCCCTGTGATCAAACTCTGTTTTTTTTGTTGTTGTTGTTTTGTTTTTTGTTTTTGTTTTTGTTTTTTTTTTTTGGTTTTTTTGTAGTTGTTGTTGTTCTTCCGAGACAAAGGCTTCACTGACTGATGCACCTCCCCTGTGCCTCTCATTTGACTGATTTCATTGAGGTACATGAAGAGTCAGAAACAGTGAGGGAACGAGGTGTGATCTGGCTTTTAGTGATAAGTCTACGCCCTGGGAGCATGCTTCATTCAGCAGCCATAGATCAAGCACCCAGCAAGTAAGAGATTGATGAGTCCTGGGGACTGAGATGTGAACAAAGTGGACAGTCACCTTGATCTGGGGGCATTAGAACTGGAGATGGAATGAAAGTTAAGTCAAATGTCAGGGGAAATTTGTGAGGGATTTTTGCGTGTCTGAGGTAGACAGGACTCTAGACATTGGGTTGGAGGCAACTCTAAGGAAATTCCCAGGCTCCCTCTAGGATGATGATGTGGTGGTTGGTGCTGAGAGGAAAGTGATCTACTCATCCATGGGAGAGTTAACTGGCTGAGAAACTCAGTCCTCCATTGGATAATTACTGTCTTCCATCCTCCCGCAGGGTCCCCAGAAGTTTCTATTGTTAAAGGAAGATGCGGATCTTTTGATCTCCTCCTCTATCGCCCTCTCAAATCTCATTTATCTCTGCAAACTTGGGTTTGAGCACCTAGACACTTGGTGCTTCCAGAAACCTTAGTTGAATTACCAATAACACAGGAAAGAAGCAAAAGGGGAAACAAGAAGAGAAAGAGCTGACTTGTCAGTTTGACTTAGAGCTTGGTACAACAGAACTGGTAGCTTATACTGGAGCTTGCTTGTTCTCTTAGGGATCTCCGTGGGATGTGAGTACAAGGAGATGGACTGGTGACTTGGATGTCTGTCTGGGACAGCATGGATTATGTGTTCTTGATGCTATTTGGACAGACTGTTCCCAGTGTCAGTTAAGTCAAGTAAGAATAGAATTTCAAGAGAAGATACGGTAGCAAATATCATGGTTGAACAAAATAAGGAGCAGAAAGTCTATTGCATGTAACTGCCATCTTGATAAAGATGGTTTATGGACAATAGTAAGATCAAAAGCCAGGCTACAAAGATTAGTATATCCATTGAATGTAGTGTGTTCCTTCTAGAACTTTCCAGAAAGAAATTCATAGGGTTGGGTGGCTACTGAAGGTGATAGGGACCACTAGAGGACACAACTGATGCATCTTGGTCCAAGTGAAGAATAAAAGATGCAGAATATAAGTAGCATGTACCTGGTCACCAGGACAGAGGACCTCTTAGAGTTGGATGTCATAGGCCCTTGTAGGAAATGGGAAGGAGGACTGGAAAGAGGGCTCAGTAAATAAAATGCCTGATGCATAGGCATAAGGAGCTGGTATCTGATCCCCAACACCTATGTAAAAAAGTAGGTACAGTGAGTGGTTCACCATGTAATCCCAGTTCTAGGGAAGCAGAGGCAGGAGGATCCCTCTGACTTGCTGGCCTGAAATCTAGTGTCATTGGTGAGATTGAGGTTCAGCAAGAGATTATGTCTCTAAATAAATAGATAAGCAAGCAAGCAAATAAATAAATCTAGTCTTATCGGTGAACTCAAGGTACAGTCAGCGATTATGCCTCAAAATGAATAAATGAATAAGGTGGAGAGCAACTGAGGGAGACATTTAACATAAATCTCTGGCCTCTACACACATATACACATAAACATGCACACAGAGCCCTTCCTCCAACACACACACACACACATACACACACACACACACACACACACACACACACACACACACACACACCCATAGGAAAGGAAGATGTGGAGGAGGTTGACGAAACCAACAGATGGCCTGAATATTCTTAGGGAAGTGAAACACCAGGATATGCAAAGCCAAGGAAGAATAGCATGAAAGAAGGAGGCCTAAGTCCCCACAGGAAGGCAAGAAGAGTTGGAGTCTTGTGCAGAGGATGAAGCAGGAATGGGGTGCAGACACAGAGAATGCCTGAGGAGCACCTGCCCATGCATCTCCCCAGCCTGACTTTAAGGTTTGTTTTTTAATTTTTTGTTTGTTTTTTGAGACAGGGTTTCTCTGTGTTGCTTTGTAGACCAGGCTGTCCTCGAACTCACAGAGATCCACCTGCCTCTGCCTCCTGAGTGCTGGGATTAAAGGAGTGTGCCACCCCTGCCCAGGTCCTTTAAGGTTTATTTTTGAGCACCTTTACCCCCAGAAATGATTCCAGCAATCATTTTTGTATCTTTGGTCTCTCCTCAAAACCTGTCACAAGGAGCAATTTACACCCTCCCTCCTGTGCTTCAGGTTAGAGTGGAATTGCTCCAGAAGAGTGCTCCTGGGAACACTGTCCCTGGGAAGCAGGTGACACTCTC